TATATATATGTATATACTGTATATATATATATATGCATTACATTTAAGCAATTTTATTTTGACAAAATTATAAACTTTTAATTTAAATTACTTTGAATGCATGCTTTAGAATATATAAAGCTTTTAAAATTACTTAGCTAACATGTTTTCTTTTATGCTCTTTGTGAACCTATATTTTAATAATTAAATAAATTCAGTTCATTCACTTGCAATAATAAAGTCAGATATTTTCTTTTAGCTGCCGTCTCAAACTTTGGTGGCAGCAGCTGTTTTTTTTTCCTGCCTTGTAAATGCATTTAAAGGCACAATATGTAAGATTTTTTTATTAAAGGGGTCATATGATGCTTTTTTTAAGATCATTATTTTGTGTATTTGGTGTAACAGAATATGTTGACATGCTTTAATGTTCAAAAAACACATTATTTTTCAAATACTGTACATTATTGTAGGTCCTCTATGCCCCGCCTCTCTCAAACGCTTCGTTTTCTACAAAGTCCCTCCTTCTGACAAGCGCAGTCTGCTCTGATTGGCCAGCTGACCCAGTGCATTGTGATTGGCCGAACACCGCAAGCACTCGTCGGAAATGTAACGCCCCTTACCATAATCGCGAGCTTCATCTTTCAAAATAAATGTAAAGACAGAGCCCGAAAGGGGAACAGAGTCGCGTGACAGACACAGTGATGAAGCTGGTATGTGTTTGCAGTACACAAGCCACGGTTAAGACAGCTGACTCCACTGTGATGTGACCCTGTCTCTCTCTCTCACGCACGCACACTTACTTAAGCTAATAACAAAACAGTAGCTGATTCAGAAGTGCCAGATTGTCATAGCAAAGTCAGAATTACCTCCTCTCCTAGGTTCACGAAACGGTCGTCCATAAAATGCATTGCTGTTCTGTTGTAAGTAATCTTAATGCATCTACTTTCGGAAGGCCAAGTAAAGTGCTTTTGCTTTCGCCTAGAAACACACAGCGTCTCCTTGACATGGCTGCTTCAACACTAACTGCTGTTCCTGAAACCACGCCTTCTTTCTTTGCACATTTGGGCGCATTATGCAAATATTTCCACATAGTGGGGTAGATATGTGGGGGCGTGTTAGAACGAGCCGTTTTAGGGGGGCGTGGCAGAGTCTTAACTTTGATAAAGAATATCTCTTTGGTTTTGAGACTTTAGTCTTTGCAACTTCAGGGATCTTATCTATGCACAATCAGCTTGTAACACTCCAAAGAGAAAGAAAAACTTGAAATCGCATCATATGACCCCTTTAAAGTTATGTCTCGATTGCCCTTTTAGAAATGGGTTTGACCTATCCTATGTTGTACTATGCTGTCCTATCCTAAGTTTTGCCATACTTTTCTGTACTCTGCTGTAGTATTTCATTTTTTAGCAATTAACCAGAGTATCTTTGTCTAAAGCAGGGGTCAACAAACTCGGTCCTGGAGGGCCGGTGTCCTACAGAGTTTAGCTCCAGTCCAACTCTAATCAAACACACCTGAACAAGCTAATCAAGGTCTAGCTAGGCAGTACCGTCGCAAGGGCTGTGCCAAGTGTGCGACCGCACAGGGCCTCGCACCCTCTAGAGGACCTCGCTCCTGGCCTGCATTTTATGTCGTTTATGTCTAATTTTTATTGTCTAGTTGTCTAGTTTTTCCACCCATTTTGTCCTTTGAAAGACTAAAATAGTCATAGCTGATAGACCGTATAAGACTCTGTGTATAAGAATGAGTAAAGCGGTTTGTTGTTAGGATGACAAAAAGTTTTAAAAGTTAAACTTTTAGGCTGGTCTGCCTCAGTGGTCCAACAGCGCTCGTCAGTGTCAAAATGATCGAGATGGCCAATCAAATCAAAGAAGGCGGGTCTTACTGTCACTGTCACAACGCAACGAGAGTTCGTGGAAAGATGTAAATAGCTAGTACTGTATTAGAAAACTGTTTTACGATAGAAATGATCAGCGACCGACAGTAATAGACTATCTAGTGATGCAAACTACTCAACGTTCTATGAAATTTCGCCGTTTCGAATTGAAAATATGCGATCATGATTAATGTAAATCATAAATGAACGTGACGAGACGTTTGCGTTTTTGACTATTAGACATACGAATAAGAGTTAATGTGCACATTTTAAAATAAAATTTTATTTTCAAATAGTGTAAATTGATTACTATTTCATATGAAGAGTTCAGATGCAAAAGCCTCT